ACAGAAAATACTCAGTTAATGCTCTTAGCAGTTATTTAGTGTTTATTATGCATCAAAAGATGACTTATATATGGAAACAGTTAATACTCATAGGACCCAACACACACACGGCAATTGAAATACGGAATGCCCGCTTCCAGTCAGCGCGTTCAAGGTCGTTGAAACGAAACGGCGGACAGATTTGAAAGGGATTACCGTTTTTACCTTGCCCGTCCGACTGCGTTACACTGTACGTCCATTGCACGCTGAAATGATTTCTCAAGTCATAGTGATTTTATTCACATAGTTGATTGTTTCCAGATAGACTGTCAGTGCATGATTTTACTGAAGAAAGGTTTGTTGTACTGTAAACTGTGTTTCTATGATCAACTTCCTGTTGTCTTCAGTATGAATTCATACTGAATACTGCTTTAAAGCAGTATATATGTATCCTTCTTTTTTTCTTAGGTAAGTTCAACTGGCCTATATTTCGTGTTTTGGTTTTATCGGCTTAATTATGTCCATTTACCTACTTTGAGCAACATGTCTTTGCAAGTGAAACAATAACTATGACACTTGCTTAGTTTGATTTTCTTGGTTGTCGTATAATTCAGTTTAGTTGAAGGAATTATGATATAATTAAGTATAGTGATTGAAGCCTGTAACGAAACAGATCAGTTTAGTAAGTAGAGTTGCCTGTTTCCAATGTGTATACGGATTCAGATCAGCCTGATTAAAAATAGGAAAAAACGTGCCTTTGATGCTGTTGCTATATAGCATGTCTGATATCATACATTATAAGATAGCGATAAGTATGTTTGGTGTTTATTTCTAAACTGTACATCTATCACTGACCATATTTCATGATCACTGTCATTAAACAATTTCCCCATCAATACCCAAGCTGCCAGCTTTGGGGAAATTTAGGGTTTTTTCTCTCATTTCCCCAAAATTTATTATAGCGGCTTCCCCAAAATGGACTCAATTTTCCCCAAAGTTGGAAGCCTGGGTAACATCGGTAGCAAGATAGCTAAGTGTCTGAGCTTTTAGTTGCCCGCAAAACAGCAGTATACAGTCTTAGAAGATGAGTGTTCTGTGTCTCAATTAAATGCAGCTGGCTGTGGACAAAGGTTAAGAATCTTTTTGACAACTGGGACTTTTAGTTTATCAGACACTTACTCTGCTTGTATGTTGTCCTGTTAAACTAGACACAGATGCATGGGAATACTTAAATGGGAGCAAAATAATAAAAACAATGCATTACGGTACTAAGCCCATGTTATGCTTTGCGCAAGTAATAGTAGCTGACCTTATCTAATATTCATGAACTCAAGGTAAATCACAACTGCATAAATTCTTTGCTAAAAATATGTAATTTGGTTATATATATTCCACATTTCTGACTAAATTCATCACCATTTTTTCATTTAGAATGCAACAGGAGTGAGTCTTCACAGATCATAAAAACTGTTTCGCCCTTAGAACTATGGCCCTATGGAACTGTTTACGGGAGATTCAACGAACAGCAGATGATAAAAAGGATGCTGGACTTCCATTTTAGTCTCACAACCACTTCCAGTATTTTGTGACTTCTTTTACTCTTTCGTTTGGAAAAAAACAACAAAAACTGCAGCTTAACATTACCAATACAACTTTTAAACGGGAACTTGGTTTAAACCTTTGTTTGATATTCGATTCTTAATGAAAGTTCTTGAATAAATTTTTGAATCTAATGCTACTTTGTTTTATCTACACAATCGTTGCAAGAAACTTGTGATAAGCGAGCCTCTCAACACCTAGTTCATGTGTTCAAATGGTTGTGGACTGAATAGAAGAAGCTTCCGTGTCTAGTAGCAGCGGATCAGCAAAACCTCCAGGTAGGAAACTAGGTATGTTAACAATAAAAGAGGAAAAAGAAATCGGTAAATCATAGTATGATACTATACTTAGTCCTTAAGAATAAATCCAGTTGCCTCTTAAAGGACTCCTGCGAAGTTGCTTGGACTAGCTCGGCCGGCAGAAAATCCCAGCATTTGACAACTCTTAAGGAGGAGAAGTTGTGCCTACAGTCCGTCCTGCTATGTTGTGTCTGTAGTTTCTGGGTGTTACCCCTTAAGCTAGTATTGGAACTAAGCTTAATTAGGTGTCGTAGGGGATGTCCAGAAGTGTTAAGGTTATTGTAAGCCATTAGGTCACCTCTAAGACGTCTATACTGTAATGAGTATAGGTTAAGTGATTTGGTGCATATCCTCGTCATTTCCTTGGGAGACCTACAGACTCGGGTCCTCTCATAGCTTGTTCTAACCACCATGGGTTGTCACACCAGCTGATGGATGGACACGCGTCACACATCCTAACAGTACCTGCGTCTTATCTTATAGCTTCTAATTCAAATGACAAGCAAGCAATGCCCCTACCCGCACTTATGGAACACTAGTAACTCAAATGCACCCCGTATGGTACCTTACACTGGTTTACGCACTCGCTTAGCTCTTTAGTGAAAATCCCATGAGCCCCCCTACCTCCATCAAAACAAATAAGTCTGTATTTGCAACATATAGCAATTTTATTATTCAAAAGTAAGATATAACAGTTAGAATTGGAATAAAATGGCAGTATACAACAGATGCACGTGGTACATGTCTTTATCGATTAACTGAAATAGAGAATATGGATATTAGATTAACAGCCTTATTTAAAAAGACTAGTGTCTAATTTGAACTTACTGCGTGAGAAAGTTATACTGGAACTACGAATGTTTCTCGGGGCTGACGAAGCACTCAGACTGTAAGACAGTTGTCCAAAATAAATTCGAATATGGAGGTGAAAATTTGCAGGTACTTTTCATCGTAAGGGTGAACATATTAGGTACCAGTTGACATCATACCGTAAGAAAACGCATATTTGCGAGTGGTGAAACACGATCTATAAAAAAGTGAGCTTAATAACAGTTAATTACCTTTTTACTCCCTGATCATGACCCTTCGGCAACCTTTTATGGCCAAAACAGCAAACATACACTAGACACTGGTAGCAGATTTCCGGCTTTTCAATGTTAAGCTTGCTTTAACGCACTGAGTAGTGAGTACAACCCCTCTATTACTGTTATATGGCATATTTTTCATAACAAACCCTCTGCAATAGATTGGTATCATCTGTGACTTCATCTATAGTTGTCGGAAGTCTGGGTCCTTTCGAAATCAGTACCGATATACCCTACTGCTGAGCACTCTGTATTAGTTTGACTCGTTGGTGGAATAGTGTTGTCCATAATACTGAAGAAAATTAAAAAACGCAGATTGTTTCCTTTCATTTTGCCGATAACATCATAAAGGATAGTCAGGAACGAACATGCGAACAGTTAGTCACAGGCGGCAGCAACAATTATTTTAGCTAAATAAAAACGAACTTCGACTTCGGATACCTAGAAAACAAGATAAAACATAACCGATTGTCGTTTGAAAACGTAAGGTTTTATGTTAGTACATGCCAGCTTAGCTGAATAAATACAGTGACTTCATTAGCAGCAGGTAAAACCCAGAAAACAAAGCAAAATCAGGAAAAACTTTGCTCCAACGTTCAGAGTATTACACTAACTTTTGAATTTTAGCACACTGAAACATCAAATTCCGTAGCTACACAAAAGAAATAGCTGAAAGAAGCACAGAACGAAGAAAGCCGACCGCCATTGCTTACAAAGATGGCGGATGTAATAATTCCCGCCTCGTTCTGATTGGTTGCTAAGCTGAAGGGCACATTTACGAAATTGAGTTGCGTTTAATTGCAGCCGCTTAGTGACATTTCGCTGGCCCTACACTACTATAATATCAGGCTGCGATACGCAGTTATACGTCATGAGTTTGTAGTGGCAATGTTCCCTAACCACATGGTCTTTGAAGCTCAACATATCACTAAGAAGATTGAAGTTCAACATGTAGCACTAAGAGAACGTCGACAATGGTGAACGAGGAAACATGCATTCAATAAAATTTCGCGGCTCGGTCTTGCAGGTGTGGTCATTCTTGTGTAACAAATCTCTTTAATTCACATTAAATAGATAACTGTTCTATCTCCATCTTAAATTTGTTATTTAGAAACGCTAAACACTATATTGTTCATTTTCACAGTACGAGGAATCAGAATAGACAATGTTGTGAGTTCCACGGAAGACCTTATAAATTAGGTTTTCATATCATGACAAATCTACGATTTTAGAATGTCTGTAATTACAGCATCATAATTCCTATCCCATAATTCTACAACTTTGTCAAGACAAGACACAAAAACAAGTGGTTTTTCTAGGGAGATGAAACTGTGACAAGACTTTTTCAGAAGAAACTTAGATCATAACATCCAAACCCAAAGGTTGTTGGTATTGATCTTACTTGTGACAACAAAACAAGGAGTTAGGAAGCAGTATGAAAACCTTGGCTGTCTAAATATTCGTTGTCTTAGTTGGTGATAGTTAAAAATTCAAGTCGCTGTCGTCTGAATGTATTCTAACGGATACCCAAAATCTTGATGGCATATGTTACGTGGATATTAAGCCGACTGATTGAAATTATGGGTGACACTTCAACAACAAAAACTTTCATCATAGACTACCCACAGCCGCATTAATATATGAGGATGGTCGTGGTCTGCTCACGTTGGACGCTGGTGGCGTGATTTCCCAGCATGTGTCGAAGTTAAACAACGCTGTTAATAACTACTGTTAACTAACCTCCTACCCTACCCATGTGCTAGGGCTAACTCGACAGCATAACAGAGCAAACATGACATTATTACTGAAAGGTACGCGTGAGAAACGTTAGGAGAAACCGAGAGCGATAAATATTAATACATTTACTAGTCCATGACCCACAACTTACTGATTAATGCAACAAAGTTTCTTCACTACTGTTCACATGAAACACATTGTTTGTCGATTTTTGACATGAGGTAATAAAAAGAACTAACCACGAACGTGGTGGAACTAAGAAAATGTTTATTTATTTGTTTAAGTTAACCACTGTTATTTATTTATGAGAAGCCACTTTACGAACTATGTGTTCCAAAGTGCATCTGAGGATTTCACTTCCTTATGTTGTTTTCTTGTCGATTATATGTCCTTTATCAAATGGTCAGTATATGTTAATTAGTATGATGCAATTATTCTGAAGGTTTCATTCCTCAGATCACTGATAGAATCGAAACGGCAGTTGTACAAGAAAAAGGTACTGCTTATCTTAACTGTACAGCAGTCATAGAGGAACAACAGGAGTCTGTAAGTAAACATACGCCTTTATAATATTTTGTCAAACGTATCATCATTCAGTTGCGGTTCGACTGGAGAGCTATATTTATTAAATTCTATGACACAATTTGCAAATTTTATGTGTCTACATATATGGACACATACTAAATAAAAAGTACTACTATACGTTTTTGATAGCTGACAGTTTTTATATCGTTACTGATCAGCTCATTTGGACTCTGATTGCACCATAATATCTCTAAAATTGTTTCATTTACTTTTCTGGTAAGATGTTCAAGTCTTTTTACCGATAGATTTTTATGCGAAACTTCACGGACTAATATTAATGGAACTTCTTTATATCATCATTGATATTGCTGACACTGAAATTGATGTCTGTAGCTAGTCATTATGGATGTTATGTAGGTTATCCCCTCACAACATGAAATATATTTGGCAAATATGCTGTGTTTGCCTTAGTCTCGTAACTGCACTTTTCCGTAATTCAGAGCTCGCTGGGATTAAACTGTCACTGTGTTTTCTTGTTTTTTTAATCGTTTTCAAGTATTACTACTACTGAATCTCCTTGGGGTACATTGGTAGTTGGATCAATAATACCAGTTGATCAACCCCAAATGATTGATTCTCCCACTGCGTGCCAAATAATTTTCTGGATAAACAGATAGCCATTTGCTTGAAGGATGGTCCATAATTGTTTTGTAACGTGCTTCAGTCTATTGGTTTGAGTACTTGGAAACGGTAGACACATCATTCGCGTCAATAAAATTTCCACGAAACTGGATATTTAGTGGCAAGCTCAACCTTTTTCGTGATCGCCAGCTATACGACACGTAAAAAACTATTTAAACTCTGCCTTCAGAGTTAAAAGATCTGCTTTTAGAAGAATTATGGCGTCTCATGATGAAAGTCGAGAGTCTTCGGAAGTCACGATGCCGATGACCCTTCTAACAACCAAAGCAACAACTTATATAGGTACATTGAATGTTCGGACAGTGTGAAAGACTGGAAGGACCAATCAAATAGCTATTGGAAATTAGAATATACAACTTGGCTGCTACCAGAATTAGTCAAACTCATTAGACTAAAGCTGAACAGAAAAAGATAGATTGTAGAGAGATGCTGCCATACTGTGGTCATGAAGACGAAAATGCTCCACACACTCAGGAAGTTTCTTTGATGCTGCACTAAGAAGCACATAGAGCAGAGCGCTTATAAGGTGGGAATCTCATGGATCGATGATCATCAAAGCATCCTTCGAAAGAAAGAGGAAGGAAATCACAATGAATGTTATCGAATGTTATGAACCAACCGATGATAGCTAGGACGACAATGAAGATCAGTTTTATGAGAGACTGCAGTCGAAGTGCCCAGGAATGGACTTGGCTATCCTGATTGGAGATCTAAGCATCAAAGTCTGAATGGACAACGATGGGTCTGAAAATATCATGAAATTCCAAAGAAGTAATAATACTTGTTTTGCCAAATATCTACAGAAACTAAGTTCCTAAAAAATAATTAAGAAAGTAAAATACTTTAATTGCGTGAGACATTTATTTACCCGATCATTGTATTTATTGTAACCTATGTTCATAAGATGTTTTCACAAGTGAAACTTAAGACATATCAGTTTAGATACGAAGCATTATAAATAAATTAACCTTTGTCTTAATTTTGGTGAGTATTCAACAAATATGATCTTAATAACAGATTCACGTTATTTTCGGTCATTGGTTAGTGAGTCACATTTATTTTGAAAGTATAGAAACAATTCAACTCTTGTCTCTTTTGTCATATTTGTAGCAAATTAGTTGGTATCGTACTGTAGACAAACAACAAATCTCATCTGGTAGTACACTTAAAGATCCTGTTCGTCGTGGTCCCCATGGTGTCAGCAAATATGCAGTTAGGTTTCTTCCTGGAAGACCCAACTATGCACCTAATATGGCTGGTGTCGACGTAAACAAACTACGTACCTACCAACTGATTGTTCGATTTGTAGATATTAATGATGCAGATACGCAATTCAGGTGTGTTATTGAATTGAGTAAGTTTAGGAAAATATTACTTATTTTAGGACTTAAAGAGAATTTGTCAAGATCTTTCACTACGTTGGGATCGTTTTTAATTTAAGTAGCTAAAATTTTTATAAACTGAAATTTCTTTTTGATTCCTTGATTTGCACTGAAAGTTATGAGGCTGGTAATATGATTATTGATTTGTTTTCTTATTTACATCACCATAGCTGGTTAATGGCATTAATGTTTCTTTTAACCTGTAATACTACATGTTGGAAGTTTCAACTAAATACTCACCATGTTTTTTCGATAACTGTCTTTGTTTTGTATTGCAACCAATTACATTTCTTATTTACTCTAAACAATCTTCAAATTATTGAATTAACTTTATCAGTTTATCTTTATCGTTTTATCTTTTACTGAAACCGAGTTTGCTTGATGAAAAAGTCCTGACATCAAATTTAGGGGTGAATGACTTACATTTCCTTTGTTTCACTACCTTACTCTCATTTTGAAGGTTAAACCATAATTCTTGTGTCTTCCCACATCTATCTAACAGAAAGGAATAATGCCCTTACAGGGTATAATACTGTCTACTGAAATTTCGAACCACCTTGATATTTACAGATTACTTAGTATGTACTCTTAGGAACTAGTAAAACCGTTTTCAATCATAGCGTAATTTGTTTTTATGTTTATATTTTTTATGCCCATGAACGTTTTATGCCATAGTTAAAAATACTATCAAGACCAGCTTAACCGTGAAGATGATGAGCCTCTGGACATTTATTTATTACACATAAAGCTTCTGTAATTCATCTTTATAAACAGTCACTGATAACTCCAAATTACTAAATAACCGTTTGGATCTATTCTAGTACTCTTTTTAATTATAAACTGAATAGCTCATTAGTTTATTTTCCTAATAATATTTATTATTTAAACGTAATCTCATCGTTTCATCGAGTTTGTTTATCATTGAAATAGTTTTTTTAATTTGTTTGACATTCGATTTTTTCGATTTATTGATATTCAGGAACTACGCCAGTTGATCAGTGGCCTGTAGCATATGGGAATATTATTGTGAAACGCGCTCCTGAAATTCTCCCGGGGTTGACATCTAAAATTGTGACGGAAGGAGACTCTTTAACGTTAGTTTGCCGGGCACAAGGCTCGCCACCACCGATGATAAGTTGGACTAGAGCTAATGGAAGGCCTCTGTCACTTCCAGGTTCACCACAAAGAATTTATGTACGTTTTACTGAAATCTTCCTTATTTTTTTCTAAAAATGGCTGAACTAAAGTTATTTTCAAGAAAAGCTATTGAGCTCATAGTTTTATCCATGTTGCATATCAATTGTTTAGACTGGCAAAATTTCAACTTATTTAGGTTTTATTGAAATCGATTGCCTTGATTACATTAACATTCGGTGTTACTAATAATTCTTTTTAAGAATTCAACACTACATATTCCCCGCGTTGATCGTTATGATCGTGGTGTTTATCGATGTTATGCAGTTAACAACGTAGCTGGGTCGGCTGAATATGATGTAATGGTGGAAGTTAATTATGCACCACATGTTCGTGAGGCTCGGTTCAAGGGAGCTTATGGACAGGTAAATATTACCATTACCCTTAACGATTTGATATTGAAAATAATTTACTTTTGATAAATAAACAGATTTTACTCTAGAAAAACACGTTGAATTTACTGAAGAATTATCATTTATTGATCACTGATGGACTTATCAGATATTTTGTTACATAATGAAAAAAGCGTCCTATTGATACTTACGAGTTAGTCAAAGCTAAACTAAAAGAAACTTGGACTGAATGGTTAAGATTCCCTGTGATGGTTTAGTTTTGTGACTATGATTTTGAGCAGTAACTAGGTTGCCTAACTATTGTGGATTGATCTTTTCGTGTTTCACCTGTGATTAGTCGAAATCGTATAGTACATGTGACCACTTGTCTAATCTTTTACTGTGGTTTCATCCTATTTATATTGAAACGAGAACCACTGTATCAATCTTCGTATACTTCGTCTTGAAAAATAGGTATTGTTTCATCACTATTAAGTGGCTTCGTTTTTATTTTTTTACCTATAAAATTCTTATTTAGGCACCAGATGGAAATTATGACATGACATTGGAATGCATTGTCAATGGATATCCTGATCCTGATTTATTATGGTATACTGGAATTTATGATCCGATAACTAATAATAAACCCCTATTTGATAATAATCGTTATGAACTTGAAAAAGCTCAAAGTTATGGTTCAGCTGGAACAAATGTAAGCTTCCATGTTATTAATTCAAATGAATACTTTTTAATATATTGTTCTTGTTTACCAAATGTTTGTTTTATTGAGATCAAAACCTGATCTAGGTTAAACAACCATTAAAAAATCTGGAAGCACCAGACCGCTGTTTCGTTTTACTACAGAACTTCTCATCAGTGCTCATAGTCGACCCTGAAACCAAGGGTCGATCTTACTCACGAACCGTTAATTCCTAGACCACCGATCCGAGATCCGATTTTAATCTATCCACAATATTGGGCGACCATTTTTTCGTCTTCAGTGGGTACTTTCCTCATACCCATTAGTGTCGAATGATATAACGTATGGTTTACGATATTTTCCTGTTACACGTATATTAGGATATTACGTTAATAAAACTAATCACGTTATACCAGAACTAGGATTCGCGACCTGAAGAAGTGAACCAGATTAACACTAGAGAATATCCTTTCAATACAATTACAAGCAGTCAGACACAGTGAGTGAGTAGAAATCAATAATTGTTATAACTGCCGTCAACCTAGTATTTACAATATATTTTGTATTCACCCTCATAATCATTAGGTAGACAATAATCTCCCATATTTCTAGTCTATGATTCCCAGTATTTTTAATCAAACTGTAATTCATTAAACAATCTCTTTTAGACACTTATGACTCCCAAACACTGTGATATAATGTCGTTTTATTTCTCATACATATTTAACAGCTATAAACGCAAGTACACTGTTTTGTTAAGTGATTTCTTCGAGAATTTCAAGCTTTGTATTCAGCCAACTATTCATTTGATTACATTTATCTTTGCAATTTTCCTATCTAAATAACTTGTAAAAGTGATAGTATCGTAAATCAAACTACTAAAGACTCTGAATTAAACTTCTAAGCCCTTTATTGTCTGTTTATTTTTTCAATGCAATATTCAGACTGTTTTTTTTAAAAAAGTGATTTATAGCAGCGTATGACTGTTGGGGAAATGGTTGATTACTTTGTATATATAACACGGATTACTGTAAAAGTAAATACATCCAAGTATTCAGCTAATAGCGAATTATTTCATTAATAATAAATAAGCGTTTGTTCCTGAATACTAGTTGTAGTTCGTTTTATAACATCCAGAACAAATCAAAATAATTATAAAGAAGGTGTTGTTAACTGATAAATCAATATAATTCTGGAAAGGGAGTTTTTAGAACAACATACTTATGTAAGTTGTCGATATTTTCACTCCAACATTTTGTCGCGAACTTTGGTAGATATCTACTTGGTGAAGATTTTTATGTCACTAGAAAAGGATTTTGATTTTGTTAGATAAAATATCCAACACAAATAATAAATTACTGACAGGTTACTAGGATCTGCTTATAAAGTGCACAATATCGAATGTTTAGACCATCTTGCCAGTGTTTATTTCTTCTGTTCATGCTTTCACTCTTCAGTACACAGGTATTCTAATGCAATATAGATGATTTCAGTCTCGATTCAGTAATTCGATAAATCTATTATCTCTAATTTAGTAATTGGTTATTAACTATAAAGAAAAATTTCCAAAAATATTCGATTACACATTAGAATTACTTTTGTCAATGTTTTTTTTTCTTTCAAAAATACACTTCAAATTTAGGTAACTGATGTTTTCTCAACTCTACTAATTCGTAATGTACGAGTTGGTGATTATGGAAATTATTCTTGTAGAGCGGAAAACAAATATGGATCAAATTTTGTTGTACTCAGTTTATTTTGTAAGTTCAGCATAGAAAATGACAGTTTAATTTCTGCTATTTAAAGATTCATTTTGAAAAGTTTTTTTCTTATTTCTACTTTCATGTTCAGACAGTGATTCATAACTACAGGTTAGGACAGAATTGAATAACCATAAATTCATCTCAGCGGAAGCAAATAGAAAAGAGTATCAATGAACATATTGATATTATGCCTTGAACCAAACATATTGTAAACTCATTTTAATATAATACCAGGTTAAAGTGGAATAGAGATTTTAATTAGTTATTTTATGAAGTATAATTAAGCCATGTCCAAGATTAAAATCAAATTAAGTTTATTAATGTTGAATCAACGAACATTAATTGCAGAGACATTAATGTTTCATTTTATTATTTTTTTCACTTCAGACTATTTTATTCAAAGATTATTGTTTTGATCATGAAGCCTAAATATCTTCTGAACCATTTGAGAAGTTTACTTTAAAGGTCACCGAAGCATCCAAGAAATAGGAAATATATCTAAATTGCACTGTGCAAATTTTTAGTTCATTTACAATCGATCATGATGCAAATTTACAGCAAAACCATTTAAACTGAAAATTATTTTCAGAAATCAAGGTTTATTAAATATAGCTGCATAGTACTAATGTCTTGGTAGCTCATGTGTAAAATTGTTGTTGTTAGAAATAATAGCCAATAATAAACAGAAAGACCAAACTATCAGAATGCACTGTATTTAATGAAGTACTCATTACTTCTTTTTTTTTGTCGAGACATATACATATATATTTATGGAACATGTAAATATTTAGGCTTTGTTGACCAATGAATTCCAATTATTTTAGCTAAAAATCTTATTGTATTTGATTTCATTTATATTTATGTTCAGATCAATCAATCTGTCAAGGTGCTTACTGTCCAATGCTTGGGGCTGTTTCCTTGGAAGCTCGAGTTAATGAAGATGGAACTTCAGTTATCAACTAATTTAATAATAAGCTATGAAATTGTCACAGTGTTTTTTATCTCTATCTTGTTATTTTCGACTTTTAAATTTTTTCTGTCATGTAGATACAATAACTATTTTAAAATAAACATTTTATATTTATACTACTTTCTTCAGTATAGGGTTGTGGAGAGTGTTGAATTTCATTGAAATCATGAACTGATCAATTTTAGATCACCATTAGAGACCATGAAGCACTTAACGGCCGCTTCTTCCTAGTATGGGACTCCTCAGCAGTGTGCATCTGTGATCACGCATGCGAGAATAGAACTCAGGACTTTCAGTCTCGCACGCGAATACTAAACCTCTAAACTATTGAGCCGACATCCAGAAGTGTTAATGCTTAACTCTAATCGATCCACAACATTGAGCGATATTTTCCATTGTCTATGGCAGGCAACTGCTTCATACTCAACACGAATGAAATCCGCTGGTCACAGATTCTCATTAGAACAATTGAAGATGGTTGCACAATATCGCGGATTGTTTGAATTTAGCCATTAACACCGTTGGATGACAGCTTAGTGATCTAGAAGTTAAGAGTTTATGCGCGAGACCGAAAGTTCTGGGTTAGAATTCCGCGTGCAAAATCATGGATGGGCGCTTCGGCAGAGTCCCATACTAAGATGAAACGACCATCCAAAGCTCCCAGGTTTCCAGTGATGGTCTAACATTGATTGGTATATATATATATACTACTTTTAATTGATAAGTATCATAGTTCCCGTAATAACATTTTCAATGTGACGTTCGCTTTATTTGCTGAATATAACATTTCATACACATAGTTCTCTTTATCATTTTGAAAAGAGCAAGAACAAACATTCTAGCGGAATAGCATGAATTCATTTTTTTATTATTTCGTTGGTTCTCGTCAGCTGTTCACAACCTGTGATATTTAAAATCATAATTAATGGGTTTAAATTACTTACATGAAAGAGTTTGATTGGAAGTTATGTTGAAAACATATTCGTATAGTATAGCAAGGGTGTAAATAAATTTAATAGACTGAATATTGTAAATATATACCTTATGTGATGAAAGAACACTGTGACAACAGTTCAAACGGCTAGAAACAAGTAAACATTGATAGGAATAAAATTAATTATAATTTTAAATATCATCGGTTGTAAGCAGCTGACGAGAACCAACGAACTAAAAATGGATTCATGCTATTCTGCTAGAATGAATATAACATTTTCTGATTTTCCAGTTTATTAAGTTAGAAATTTTTCCAATATTAAAAGTTGGTCACCCTCTAGATATTTTGCACAAACTTTTTATATCTTCCTTTAAATTATTTTTGTTTACACTATGATAACACACTAGAAATCACCAATCCAAGGAGTAGTTCCACAATAGAAAAATGTGATAAAATATGATATTCTCATATTCTACCATTCATCAAGTAGATAAAATTATTTAACTTGTTTTATATAGTTATCCTCTTTACATTATTTTCGTGAAATTGCCGTGATTATCACAGCAACTAGTTTTTGTTGCCTTCATACCAACTAGTGCTTTTTTCAATGTTTCTATATTGTAATTGAACAAATTCATTTCTTTTCACTCCATGGTTTATGGCTTTTGCTATTGTTCACTTCTATTCGGTTACTAGTAAATCTAGTTGTTGTTTTTAAAAGCCTCATAAATTTTGACATCTTTATCTAACATAATTTGAAGATTGGAAATCCAATTGTTTAAACGTCAAAATAGATTAATATTGTTAATCAAATATAACTGTAATAATTACAAACGCTTCATTATTCCTGACATAACTTGTAATTATGGTAAACGTTAGGTTATGTAGAAAGTACTTTTTAATGATGTACTCAACACAACACCGATACTTCATGACACAGCAATAGTGACCTTTGATTCATTTGCGTCATTGGTTTCTTGCGAGTTTAATAAAACACATCAAACTAAATAAATTTACTCCATTCTTTGTACGCTGTTTTTTTGTCAGTCGAAATGTCATTGGTAACTCGGACAAGCTAAATAATTATTTCGTTCCGTGTCTAGACTCCACAGTTGTATTCGTCCTTGGTGTTTTTTTTACACTGAACCGTGTCTTCGAAAATTTTTAATTAGTTAAACTATTAAAATAAAACTCTGCTAAACTGGACTATTAGTATTTGTCTAAACATATAGTTGGGAGACTGTAATGTATGGACGACCCTTGAGCGATGCTAAAGTGACCTTGATACAGCTCACCTACTTATTACGGTAACAAAAGGGTTATAAATTTGTTTTAGGAATTAGAGTTCTAATATAGGATGAGGAATTAAAACAAGGTTATTCATCAAGAACTGACATAAGCTACAATTCCAAAATGCTGTTCGAATACATGGATGAATGAAGTTTGCGCATAATTGGGAAACTTGCTATCCTTAATTTCATTGATTTGTCCATAAATTATAGTCATTTCGTCTGAATACTTGACTGATACTATAATCAAAGATTTAAAGTTTTTCAAAACTTATTACAATATCAAAAGCGGTAGGCTTTTATATATAGTAATTTATTCAATGTATTTTATTCATATTACATATGTTATTGATAATACATTTCATGATCAGATTTCATTGTATTCATTATAATTATAGCCGAGAAAAAAATAATGGCATGTATTCTTTTTTTGATGAACAATTTGCCTATAAGAGATAAGTGTAAGATGTTTTTTGCAATTATAACAGAATACTAGACGATAATAAAAATTCTCATGACTGAAAGAAAAAGTAGCTGACTTTTAATATTTTTCAGAAGATTACATAAACATGATTTATTTGAGATCTCTCAACTAGTAGAGTGATAAGTTATGAAATCTGAAAACGGTTGGTCTTGTGCTTTCATATGACTTGCTGAATATTCACTCCATAGTTTAACCTTATCATAGGGAGAACATTTATCATCAATCTGAAGCAATCTGTTATGTTATTAGAAACTTGACTAAAGCTTTAAAGCTCCCATAAAAAGTAGAACTAACCATACGGATAAAAATACCGAAATTTCAGTGTCTAAAAGAAGCACAATAATTCAATTATCAGTCATGAAATATCTAATATTGACCTCTTGTACGTATTCTCTCTTCTTGTTCATACCTTAAGTTTCTGTTATTTAATTAGTTTTACAATACTGCACCTTCATTGTCACTCACTTAGTTCATAGAACTCTACACATTACACAGTCACCGGTCTAAAATTTAATACAGCCGTGGAATACATAATTTGTTGGCGTAAATTATCAGATAAATTTGTAAATTAATAACTACTCAAACTCTGCTGGCTTATTACCTAATTTAACTAATTCTGTCTTAACTTAGCCAGTGTGTATTTCAGTGAGTGTTTTTACGATACAACATTAAAATTCACCAAATCCAACCTGGCCTATATTTCTTCTCATCAAATCATGGAGTATAATTCACAACTAGTTAATCTCTTCAATAACTTAATATTTTGTAGTACCAACTTACCACTTGATTCTTGAGAAACTCATGAATTTCTGTGTAAAGTTTTTCACTTCCAATTTCTCCTTGTTGAAGCCAATTCGTATCAGATTTAGCTCTGAATTCCGCCATGGAATCTAAGTTAGTCCTGCTAGACTCTTTCATTTGTTGATTAACATTTTCATATTCATCTACTGTACCATGTTCGTTTGGAATATGAGAATAATATGGCTGAGTAATCAAAAGTAAACATACATGAACAGTTATAAAACGACTAATTGTGCAGTATTTATGCGCTTTTTAGCATAAGGTAAACAAATGTACGATAGTAACCATATTATTAACGTAACGTTTGGTCAATAAATCTACCCGTTAAATAAATGTTAGTGAAGTCTAAGTTTAAAGGTTGAGACTTTCATGAGTAGGTATCCATGATCACGGATCAGCTAGAACAATCTCATTATTTCTTAATAACCAATATTGTTTTACTTGAATCTTCCCATTGATGTTTTAGGACTGAAATTGATCAGTCTCTTATAGGCATATGTGCATACTGTGTGTATGCCTCAATATTGCCTTAATTTACATGCATTTTTTAAGCAAAGATGGATTGTGGCTAGCAGTGGAATCAGGACGCGCATTTCGTCCTGTTTGGGACTCGTCAGCTGGATGTGCCTGCATCTCAGAGTTGGTGTTCACTCTGGGACTCGAACTCAGGACTGAAATTGATCAGTCCTAAAACATCAATGGGAAGATTCAAGTAAAACAATATCAAATGAATTAAACTTCAGCCCATTGCACAAGCAAGTGGCTATCAGGACTCAGTAGCTAAGTGGATAACGCGATGGCGTTTGAAGCGAACGGTACTGAGTTGGAGTCCCAGAGTGAACATCAACTTATGCAGGTACATCCAGCTGACGAGCCCCAAACAGGACGAAACGCGCGTCCTAAATTCCACTGCTAGCCACAATCCATCTTTGCAATATTATAATTGTTTCAATTAATCTTTGTTCAGTTCAAAGTGTATGGCGATGATACTTAGAGAAAAGAAAAAGGATTTAAATTTATTTTCAAAAAAGATGGTAACATAGAGAATCTTTTTTGTACCCAATTTCTCCTTCTATTCTAAACTTACCTGCTGATCTATTTTTAATTCTTCAACAAAATCTAGAAAGCGAGCACTTTGTAATTGTATAGTGAGACTTGCATTTTCCTAAGAAAAAACAACAAAACAATATGAATTCACGACTAAAATCTGATCAAATTTAGCCTAAATTTTGATTTAGGAGTTTCATCTTTGCTTACTACTGATGTGAAAGTATGTTCTCTATTCATTGAAAAATTCTAGAAATTCTGCTTAGGTATGAAGATAGGACTGACTATGTTACTTTTAATATTCACCTTGTAATATTATTTTTAAACTATCTAGTATCATTATATTTGGCTTGTGACTAGAAATGGAGTCAAGGATATACGTTTTGTTCTGTACTTGGTAACCATGTACTTGAATCCCAACACTGACATTAACACCAAGAATTGAACCCATTATCTCACGAAAAACTTCACCACATTACCTAATAAACACCTCATTTAACGGGTATGGATTTATGTACGTAAGGTTCTGAGATTTATGGTTGTTGATATTAAACACTACGCTTAGTCAGATTCTATTAGCATATGTGGCCTAATACCACCTTGTATTTATAAGTTTTATTACATTTGGATTACGGTTAACAGTGGTATCCAGGTGGTTATTGCTATCTGGCGGTTCGACTATATATTAAATTTAATTCCACAAAAAACTGTTTCCAGTCAAAGAAATCCGATCACTCAATGGCCATGAGCAAAGCAAGTAATCGATCCATGGTGTGACTACATAATTTTGGTGAATTTGAATGAATTATAGACTTCTAACACCACATAATTGATACTATTTCTCAGTTAGTAACTGATGATATAAATTAAACATACACTTTGTATTATATTCTTCATATTAATAATCACAAATTCCAAACACTTACCAGAAAACTATCTGATCTTAGCATGATTGACTTTTCGTCATCTTTATTTTGTATTTTATCTAATGTTCGTAGACGAATTGGAGGTTTAAGAAGACAAAGTTTATGCATTCCATTACGTAAAAATCCCCTGAAAATATTAAGCAATTTAATCCCAATAAAAAATAGGTTTTTTTAACAGTGAGATTAGCATCAGTAACGGGTTTTGTGAATATTATAGTAATTTAATACTTGAATTAATGAGTCAATTAAAGCTAGATCACTATGGTAAACCTGGAAACACTGGACGGTGTTTTATACACTGCAAACATTAAAAGTTATATTCTGAAAATAAGTATTCGTAATTTAAT